AACTACCAAACAAGAAACAGAACTACACAACCAATCAATCCATATTTCATCGCAAAAAAAGGAGCATATACAGCAGGTATTTTGGTAACAATTACACCAGGAGAAAACAAAGATGAACAAGTCAAGTACCTAATAAATATCTTCAAGTTATCTAAGACTGAAAGCAACCTCATCAACATGGAATTTACCAATGGAAACTACTGGCACACAGTATACTTCAAACTACAGCTTGATCTCATAGGTTGTGTGGAAAAGACAAACAATAAGGAGAATGGAAATCTCAAAATCTTATATCTAAAAGGAGGACCAGAGAAGGAAAAAAAAGAATCAACTAAAAAAGAGATATCACTTCAATTGCATGTCCAAACAATAATACAAGCACCCAAGTTAGCAAATATCCCACAACCCCTAAAAAAAGATGAGCTCATCAAGACACCAGCCACACCATCCAGCCAATCCAATATACAGTCAACTTCCTTTAAATGTATATTGCTGGGACTATTACTTTAATATGAATTTAAAGGAATATGCATTTAAAATTATCAAAAGTAATAAAATTATATTTAATGAAGTAATATAATTATTTTTATTTTATAACAATAATGAAAACAACATTAACAAATTTACAATGTTATAATATTTGTTTAAAAAAACAAACCAATCCAGAAATAACTCAAAAAGAACTTATACAATGGTGTGAACAAACTTTTAATTTAAAAGTTGATCAAGCTACTATTTCAAGAGTCTTAAAATGGTCAAAAGAATTTTTGGAAACCAAAAGTCTGGAAAAACCATTACAAAAACGTGCAAGAACTGTTAAGTTTCCAAATCTTGAAAATGCATTATTAGAATGGTGTTTACAAGCTCAAGGAAAAATCCCATTAATAGAACGATTAATAATTGAAAAAGCAAAAATTTTTACAAAGCTTTTAAATATATCTGAAAATAGTATTACATTTTCAGATGGATGGATTCGACAATTTAAAAAATGACACAATTTAAAACAAATCAAAATGCATGGTGAAAGTGGTTCTACAAATGAACATATAATTGAAACAACTATCGAAGATCTCAAAAAAATTACCAATAATTATGCATGGAAAGATATTTACAATATGGATGAAACGGCTCTTTTTTATAGAATGGAATCTGATATAACACTTGCTACAAAACAATTGGTGGGCAAAAAAAAAGACAAAAAAGGATTAACAATAACTCTTTGTTGTAATGGAGATGGTTCTCACAAATTTAAATCACTTATTATCAGTCGAAGTGGAAAACCACGTTGCTTCAAAAATATTAATCTTATGAATCTTGGTGTAACTTATTGACATAATACGAAGGCTTGGATGACAGCTACTTTATTTCAAGAATAGTTACGCAATTTCGATTTACAAGTATATCCACAAAAAGTCTTCTTTTACTTGATAATGCTACATCCCATATAGTTACAGGTATTTATTGTTTTTTTTTTTTTTATTTATACAAATTTTATTAACATTAATAAATAATATAGGCATAATATTAAAAAATACTTTTGTTAAATATTTGTCGCCGAATACAACATCTCGATTACAGCCATGTGATGCAGGAATAATCACATCATTTAAGGTACATTATCGAAGAAAGTTTGTTCATTATTTGTTAGAAAAATTTGAAACCAATGATTTAACTAATAAACTTTCGATTTTGGAAGTGATTAACTTTATATATGAAGCATGGAGAGAAGATATAACATCTATAACAATTAAGAATTGTTTTAGACATGTTAAAATTTGAGATGATGATACAGAAATAACTTGGAATAATGAAGAAATAACAGAAGAAATTATACCAGTATTAGAACAAGATATCAATCTTTTGAAATATCATAATCCTATGGTAATTGAAGATTTTTTGAATCTAAAAGATGAAGTTTTAGTTGAAAAAGATTTAACTGAAAAAGAAATTGTCAAGCTTATTTGTGATTCAAATGAATTGGAAAATGAAATTGAAGATGATAGTTCAGAAATTCCATTGGTACCAATTGGAGAAGTGATAGAATCATTAAATAAGGTTATGAATTTTTTTTTAAATTAAGAGGGCAATTATTTGAGCGAAATTAATAGTATAGTAAAAATTGGTCACGTATTAAAAACGTTAAAAAGAAAATCTTTCATACAAAAAAGTTTAGATGATTATTTTCAACAACCAGAGTTAGAACAATTAGAATTCGATAATCGTTATGAACATATTGAAATAGTAAGTAAAAATTAATTTTTTTTTTATTTAAAAAAAATAAGATTCATCAAATATTTATTAACTCATTTTTTGTTTAAAGGATTTTTTTAAATAGTGTTTAGAACAATGTTAAATAATTTGATATAAGAGTATATCATAATTATTTTTTTTTTCAAATTATTGATTATAAACAAATGGAAAATTGGATATTAATTCAGGTACTGTAAGAATCAAGTAAAAAGCAATATTTATTTATTTATTTATTTATTATTTAATATTTACAGGGTGGATTAGATATATGTGCATTGTAAGGCAATCTACATATTTAATAAAATAATGAAAATTTGAGTGGAAACTATTAATCCGATGGAATTGGTTTTACATAATAATCATTTTCAATGCTAACTTAAAAGAACGATCTTAAAACTGCAGGTAAGTATTGCCCAAGGAAGAAAATCATTAATAAAAAGGCTACAATGAAGATTATCTCTCCCCACCCGACGAAGAGAAAATGGAGGAAGTGGCACCTTCTGCAAATGAGATCTATTATTATATCGAAAATGACAATGCACCAAGCATTGTGCATGACACGAACAAACAGTACTCAAGTCGAAAGGTGCCGGCAAGGGCCCTAAGTCAAGCCTAACGTCATAGCGATGACACTGATATCGCCATTTCAATTTCGAATGATAAAACCAAAAAAGTATCTGCTAACAAGATCGGTGAGGATAATAGATAGAAGAAATCCTGTATGAAGAGAAAGTAGAAGAGAAAGAAAGATATACGGAAGAGATGTTTATCAGATAGACAATAATGGTATGCATACTTGCCTCAAGAAGAACAACCGGGCTTGGCCAGAGATAGACAAGGACAAAAGGAGATGGTGGAGGAAAAAATAGAAGGGATGCAAGTGGACGAGTAATTGATAGAAGAATGGGTTGAGCAAGCAAGGGAGGTGTTGTTAATGAGAAGTGGGATGTTTTCACGCAATCAGTTCAAGGATCGGGAGACACTGAGGTAGCACGACACACTGTCATTATCAGTGATGATGTCCCGAAAGCACGAAATCATATGTGGCATGAGGGAATTAGTAAAAAGAGGGATGCCATTTACCATAAATGTATACCTACTTTCATTACCGATACTCTATGCATTTGTGTGAAAAAGGAATAGTTAGTATTTTTCAATGTACTTAGATGCAATTATGATTTAGTGATTCGATATTAAATGTATTGCTTTTTATTAGTGAGATTAATCTTGGCGATGGTGATACTTGTGAGTTTTTCAGTTTTAATTGTTTTTTATTATTTGAAACTACTCTTGTCATAAAGTATGGCTAAACATAAACGTCACATATTTCATGATAAAAAATGTAGATAGAATTTAATTCATTTTTAATAAAGATGTATTCAATGATTTGATTGGCTTATAATTAAGTCACATGATTTTATGCATTTAGCACACCGATAATAAATAGTAAAATTTGATTGCATATGCATTTAAAGTTTATGAAATAAGATATAAGTCCCATTATAGAACCAAGCTAAAATATACATTTAGAGGAAGTATGCATTTAGAGGACATGCATTTAAAGGAAGTTGACTGTAATTTAATAAAAATTATTTAAAAAAAAAATAAATTTAAATATAATTAAATTAACATCTATAGAATAATTTTTATTTTTTTATTTTTTTTAGTAGAATGGCATTAGATGTGGGTTTTATTATATATTTTATTGAATATTTACAATTAGTTACATCAAACATTCTCTATAGTACTAAGACTATAGCTAAATACTAGCCTATCTACATTATGTCCAACAATACACTTTATACTCTACAAGTGAATCACATATTTTTGGGGGAACCTATTTAGGAGGTAGAAGTCCTATCACTAGTTTAAACTACTTAACCTACCAATCCGATTTTGTTTGAGCATCATGGTTGGTTTTTTGATTACTAACTATCTTAATGTAAGTTACCTATCATGTCCCACCTTGTGTTCACATAGTTATAGTTTCAGAGAGTCCTTGGCATGTATATGCACTTCCTGGTAAATACTCTTGACATTAATCCGCTGGTTGGTAATAAAAGTCATCAATATCTAGGAGTCCTTTAACCAATTGGATGTAACTCTTTAAGACCTGAACCTTAATCTCCTAGTAGACAATCCATGTTTCCAGTATCCAGGTTGACTTTAGCTACCAAATTTAAGGATACGAATACCAATCAGGGCACAACTCCTACATATCACGAGAGTGTCTAGGGGCTATGAGGATGACCATATGGTAATGTTGATGCAATGTTCTTCTTTAAAGCTTCTTACTGAGATCATCAGCAGAGATTGATGGCTTGGAATTGATTAAGATAAAAATACAACCCAGTCTGTAACTTCCAAATATGGATAGGTCTTGAACTTCTTTTGATGATTATTATAACATTATCCAAACAATCGTCACGCTACTATATCTTTTATGGAGATCACAATCTCAATGCTCGCTAAATCAACATGTAAACTGGTTTTTCATGAAAAACAGCGCATATTAGGTTATGGCATCAGATATCATATTAATACTATTCAACTGCCTTTATATAAAGTTGAACTGGTATCTTGTAATCTGACTTGTGGAGCACTAACCACTGTACTATAGATCCACAAGTAAAGATGGGTCCCTAAATTAAAGGTGAGGACATAATTCAAATGTCTCTTACTATTAAAAAAGTTTTTTTTTAAATATAAGGTCAAAAAAAAACTACCTACAA